GAATGGAGCCTTTGTTCAAAACATTCAACATCGTACAAGTGCTCTCCAGAATGTCGGTGGCGTCGAGTACAGTGCGGCGGCGAACTGCACGAACGTGCTGGTTTGCATTGGTTCGGGTCTGGAATAGCAGAGAGCCTCACGAGCTCCAGGCGCTCTTTAATTTGGAACCGCTAATCTCACACACAATATGTAGCAGCAGCCCGGAGGTTCACTGAAACGTGTATTGCGCATTCATAAGGGCGTCGCATACAGCTCTTTGCTCGACATATCGAAACTGGCTCGTACGGCGAAAACTAGCCTTCCCTCGTCGGTTTTCGAGCATGCTGCAAAATCGCTTTGCTATCTGCTTGCCCTTTTGTCATGGCTAAGCATATTCGCCATGGCTCAGACTGTGGCATCTCAGGCATACACACCTGTTGCTGCGCGATGTCCTGCAGGTTTCAACCTAGTGCGGATGGCTGGTACTCCTGGGAATCAGACCCTCAGCTCATCTGAGGCCTCCTATGTCCAAAATCGCAAGACCAGTGTCCTTCCGCAGGCCTGGAAAACTTATCTCTCAAATGTCTTATCCACCAATCCTTATCTCCCTGATTACGTGTCAAGCATTCTGTCGGGAGATAGCTCCGAGATCCGACTCTAGGCATTGCAACGAGCGGAGGAGGGTATAGGGCTGCAATCTTTGGTGCAGGAGTGTTGAACGCACTAGATGCGCGGAATTCGTCTTCCGATGCCGCTGGAACAGGCGGGTTGCTCCAGGCAGCAACCTATCTGTCGGGATTGTCAGGCGGATCGTGGTTTGTCACGTCCCTTGCCCAAGCCAATTTCCCCACCATCCAAGATCTCATCTTTGGACCTGCTAGTCCCCCAGTGTCTGACAATTCGTGGGGAGGATGGAATGCTGCCTATGATCTTGCAACGCCAAGCACGAACCTCTCCACGGATTCGGAATATTATATGGATCTTGCGGAGGAGTTGCTTGGAAAGTACGAAGCCGGTTATGTAGTGACATTTGCGGACTATTGGGGACGTACGCTAGCCAGACATTTCGCCAATGGCACTTTCTCGTCTAATTTCTATGACGAGTCGTACACCCATGGAGCTGGTGTATTATGGTCTGCTGTTGCAAATACGTGAGTTCGCTCTCATCCTGTTCACTCCGTTGGCTGATCCTGGTTAAAGGACCTCCTTTGCGTCCTATTCAATACCATTCCCAATTGTGGTCGCAGACCTTCAAGCTCCGGGTCAGAACTCATCTGAGATCATTGCTGAAGACTTCATCCCCTTAAACCAATCCTCTATTTGAGTTCAATGTTTGTGAGTTAAGGGACACGGTCTTTTGTTCCTGAGCCCTGAACGCATCTGAACAGTTGAAACGGGTTCTTTCGACCCGCAGCTTTCTGCATTCGCGCCCACCAAATATCTGGGAACGACAAATAACAGTATCTGTGTCACCAACTATGATCAATCTGTGCTTGTCGCTGGATCATCTTCTGAACTATTCAATGAGGCTAATTTCACTGTGGGTTCCGTTCCGATGTTGTCTATGCACGCCTGAACTAGCTGGCAGAATACCTTCAATTCGAGTTATGGGCCCATTTTATCTCTTTTGGCGAGTCTTATGCCTGAACCCGACGTTGAATATGACGTTGCTTCTTGGCCAAACCCATTCTATGGTGTGGCGCCGGACAGTTTTATTGATTCGGCCCAAACGAACCTGAATATGGTGGACGGCGGTGAGGACGGTGAAGTTATCCCCCTGCAACCTCTCCTGGTGAAGGCACGGCGTCGATGTCATTTTCGCTATTGATGCAGTAAGCAGTTTCCCTAAGAATGTGACGATCTTCAGCTGATCTTTAACTCAGACCGATGATGCCGACGACTTCGCGGATGGTAGCTCTTTGATTGTGAGCATACACGGTTATTGAATAACTTTCGCATCTGAATCCTTACTAGGCCACACAAAATCGTACTTCGCTTTACCCTTCCGCTTACTCATTCCCTCCCGTTCCCACTTCTATGGGAGAATACACCGCACAAAACCTGACTACGCGCCCGACATTCTTTGGATGCAATACGACCAGTTTGAACGCAAGCACCCCGCTTCTCATATACCTTGCTAATGGTGGCCCACCCTACAATGGCGAAGCTCCCATTACCAATACCTCAACGGATCAAACTTCCTATTCGTCGTCAGAGATCCAGGCAATGCTTAGCCAGACCTTTGTTATCGCGACTCAGGGGTATCCAACAATCGGAGCAACGGAAGATCCAAATTGGCCGTCGTGTCTCGCATGCGCCGTCGTCGACCGTGCAAGGGAGCGAGCAGGGGTGGAAAGAAGTGGTATCTGCACTTCCTGCATGAACAGGTACTGCTGGGATGGAAGCACCCTCACAACTACTGCACCCTACAGCGTATAGGCCACGCATTTGGATAGCTGGGCGCCTTCGGGGTGGCGTCGGTTATTATGGCCATGCTGATGATGTGAAGTCAATTTGTGCAGACGGACACAGTTTGAGTTTTCGTTGTCAGAGCTGATTATTGTTTGATGCTTTTGGTATCTGTTGGCTGTTAGCGAATTGGACTCGATTACTGGCATGACGTTTGCTTTTGCTGGTTTTGGGGATGCGGCGGTGTCGGGCCCTACTAATCGATTCTGATTCAGCGATGGCGGATCCACGTCACAAGCGTCAGATACGACGACCACTAGCAAGAATTTCAAACGTGCGGCTACTAAGTAAACCTACGGTGTTGATACTGACAGAAGCACGAAGCCGAGCTGTCATTGTCAGCCAAGGATAGGTAGAACCTGATATGCATGCATGCAGACGAATTTGATCCTCCAACCCACTGAAAGGCCTGCTGTCCTCAGTTGTCATTATAAGATGAACTATTTGCACTTTCTTGAGCGAACATGATCCGGGGCCTGCGGCTTTTGCCAAGTAAGTTCCAACTTTGTCGAGACGGAAAAGGCAACCACGTGTTATTTAGAAACTCCGCGAACCTATGCGAGCGTCGATAGATGGCAAAGTTGAGTACTGAGCGTTGCGTATCGGCCTCACCCGCTCGTCCTCGTGCTACTGTCTCTTCCAACCTCTCGTTATATGGCGCAAGCGATGCTTCCTGGACTAAGGACGATGCAAATTTCTCCAGATGGATAGATTGACTCAGATGAATCCCAGAATTAAACAGTTGTCCTCGGAATCTGCCCGAGTCCTCATGGCAAACAAATCGCTGACGTTTAACGGCGTACATTCAACGGTCTGGTTTACTCCTCCGATATGGTGTCGTCTGCATCTTGCTGTTGCCATTTGATACGTGATGGCATTCTGCTGATGTCGGATATTTCCTGTTCTGCCAACCTGATCATTTGATTGTTCACCATTGTAGTGGCGCCTGCTATGATAGCCCGAAGAATGATGCATGGCGGTCTACTCCCCCCAAGGCGATTCTATCACTTACTAGAGAAGTTGCCATTTACTATGATCGTCAGGTCCCTCCACAGTCCTCGTTTCTTGTCGAGCTATGAGGTCTTCCGAGTCGTTGGTCTTGGCTGCGTGTACTGGCACGTATTATCGTCTTGAATCTGTTCCCAGCGCGACTGTTACTAATGAAAAATCCGTTTCATAGGCAAAGCGAGTGTCACGGAGGCGAGGGAGCCGGAAGAGGAATATGGTATCCCGGAAGTAGATTACCTGCGAGTCCATTTTAGGATGGAGGAATTGACGTCCAACCGCCATCGGCGACATTCCATTGACCACTAGTGTGACCGCGATTTGGATATGTTTTTGTCACGCTTTATAGATGGTATATATACCAGCTACGTTCTGAATTCCTCATAGGCGTCCTCTCCTTTCTTTCCCCCTCTGTCACTTGTGCCCGCCGACGACGCAGGCCTCTTTTTTGTTGTCTTTGTCGGATTTTTCATTTGCTACACCCACCATGGACTTCATCGCTACCGCTGCGTTCCCAATCTCAGTTTCTTGGATAACCCACAACATCGCTCTCGCCGCTCTTTCTCTTTCTCTGGTCTACGTTGTCTCTCGCGCTATATACAACCTCTTCCTTTCCCCGCTCAGCTCGATACCCGGTCCTTGGTTTGCCGCCGTCTCTAACTTTTGGATCACAACACATGTCTTGCGCCTCCAACAATGTAAGACCAATCACCGCCTGTTCGAGAAGTATGGCCCTGTCGTTCGAATCGGTCCAAACAAGGTCATATTCAAAGATCTGACGTCCATGAGAAGCATCTACTCAGTCCACAAATTTGACAAGAGCACCTTCTACAAGAGTCTTTTAACGTGCGTTTATCTTGTATTTGATACGATTTTAGCTTATCAGTCTCATTTAGTAATGAGAACGATCATGCGTGAGTGCACATTGCAATCTGTTAAGCGTGCATATATGCTGATTTTCTGACCAGTATGACGACATTGGACCATGCGGGACATGTTGCTCGACGAAAGGGCTATGCTCCTCACTATATCCCCGCCAATCTCGTTCTTTTTCAGCCTGAAGCGCATGATTATACCCTCGAGCTTGTTTCGGTATGCCCCTAGAAATTAACATGACATTTCCCTTTTAATGCGCCTATTCCAGGTTCTAGAACATATCGGGGGCAAACATTCTTTGGATTGTCTTACATTGTTCCGCCATTATATGGTTGACGTTATTATTGCGTCTTCTCATGGTTACCGACAGGGTGCTCTCAGTAAATGGATTGCAGGTGTGGAGGATTCTATGGCCACTGCGATCGCAGATTTCCCAAAGCGAGGCATTATCGTAAGGCGATCGACCTTGCATCAAAATTAGACTGACAGGGGTTGCAGAGAAGCGCGGTGCCCCCTTGGGTGTGGGATTTGATCTGCCGTATTCCCAACAACCGGTGGCGTCAGATGTGCGATTCTGATAAGATTATGGGCGAGGTTGTTCCCTCTCTATGCCTTCAGTGCGGACAATGAAGCTGATTCTCGTCTCTTCTCAAGTTCGTTGGTGCTCGCGTGTACGAGATGCGGGCAGAGTTAAATGCAGGAAAACTTGGTGAATCTGAGAAGATTCCGATGTTGCGACGCCTTCTCCAGCACAAGCATTCCTCTGAACAGGCCATGCCCGACCACGATATCATTTCAGAAATGATGGGACATATGTATGCGTCTAACTCTCGTTCGACTGCCTGTAGTGCGAGCTAAATTGATACTCCTAGGATCGCAGGGTCTGATACTACATCAAACTCGTTGTCCTACTTCTTTTGGGAGCTTAGCCGCAGGCAAGATATCATGATGAAGCTGCAGGCCGAACTGGATCAAGCGATGCCTGATCCGCATGCTATCCCTGATATCGCTCTCTTGCAGAAGCTTCCTTACCTGAACGCTTTCGTGAAAGAAGGTCGGGGTGCGCTTCGCTGTAATTTACATCTTTCTCATTACACATGTTATAGGTCTTCGGCTGTACAGCGCCGCACCAAGTCCTCTCGAACGCGTCGTTCCATCTTCCACATCCAAAAATGGTGCCATTAATGAAGCTTTTGATCTTATGGGTTACGCACTTCCTCCTGGTACCATCGTTGCTACCCAAGGCTGGTCTATGCACCGTGATGCATCCATCTTCCCTTCTCCGAAGACCTTCCTTCCTGAGCGCTGGCTCGAGAGACCTGGGAACGCTGAACATCTTTTCAAGATGGCACAATTCCTCATGCCATTCGGAACAGGCTCGCGCGTCTGCGGAGGCCAGAATTTGGCGCAGATGATGTTGAGGATCGCGGTGGCCACTGTAGCGAGGAACTTTGATGTTGTGGCTCCTCCTGAGACCAACGAGCGAAGTATGGAAATCAAGGACTCCTTTGTAATTGACTCTCTTTGTGATCACTGTCCGAGGACTTGACTTATGTGCCTTTTTCTGCAGGTCATCTTTCCTGCTTCGATGGAATGCAAACTGACATTCGTCCCACGAGCTCACTGAGCTCCCTGGCGATTCATCTACCATCACTACGACCCACCACGAGCGTACACGCCTCATAATTTCTCCCCATTCTCATCTCCTATTCCTACTTTAGTGATTAGAGCTCTTATAATCGGCTAATATTCCTCGACATGGGCTGGCTACCCTGCGAAACCCTCGTCGAACTTGCTTTCGTTGTAGTAGTGTGGACATACTCTTGGTTTTCGCGATGCTATGCAATCGTATTACTATGGTATTCTATTCGGCTGGCCCTATGTATGTATGTCAATACCCACTTTGTGTCCCTAGTTTTGGTATCTGATATAGACTGACGTTCGGACGTCATATCTAACCTTGTTGATGGAATGGTATGATATAAGACGACGGGACCACCCCAGACTCGAATACATCCAACTTTGGGGACTCTTGGATCATTTAATGCACAGCTCGCCGCTTTACATCGGGAATAGGCGATAGTTTTGCTTTACTCGAGGTGATGAGAGATCATACTAGCTCAGTTAAATTCCTTGGCCAGGTTTAGTGCCCGACGTTCCGGCCGAATATTGTCTCTAAACTACCATCTGTATCGTCCACTTAGAACCGACTGACTCGGAGAGGAGCCCGTTAATGGTCGTTCCACTCCCGTATCCAATATCGAGCTACATCATAATTAATCCTCGAGAATTCCTTTAAGATGCTGCATCAAGGTCGCATACAAACGGCTTACGTTCCCAACGCCAAGCCCGTTTGTCAGAACGTCAAGGCCAAGGCCAACTTGTCCGCGTACAAACCGGATTGGAATGATGAACAGGTGATTTTACTACGCGTTGCAAGGAATGTCTTCCTGTTGCCGTCTGATTCCTGAAGCTGTGTTTTTGCAGTGTTTTCTGTGCTCTCGGGAGTGCCGGTATCACTTCTGCAGCCTAATCGGGTCGTTGAAATGCCGAAGCTCTTCTTGAGCGCTGCACTAGTACTGAAGTGCTCCCTAAGATCCTAGAATTTCTGTTCAATCTCACCACTCGACACACAAGACAAGGCGGCACGAGACTCTTTACCGCAATATCGATCTAGGTAGCGTGATTCTACTCCATTGGTCTGAAATTCGCTGGCCAGTACTTACGAGAAACACGCCAAACAGCTCTGAGACGCTTGATGAGCGATACAGAAAAAGATGCAGTGCTTGCGGACGAGGTTCCAGTAGACGATGATGTTGCATCCAAGACCTTGACTAGTGGTTGGAAGAGGTTCCTTGTTAGGTCCAGCGACGCGTCTGTTGAGAATAAAACGAAGAGGGCGATGCAGAGCAGACACCTGATGATGATTGGTGAGTGTTTGTTAAGATACTCTCAGTTTCGATGGTCAATGATGCCATGTACTGGGATCTGCGCAGCAATCGGAGGGACCATTGGGACGGGTATTTTCTTGAGCGCTGGATCTGTGAGTGTCGCTTTGTTCTCATATGAGCGCGTCCTTTATAACCGCTTTGATTCTTTCGCCAAGGCTATCGCTCTGGCTGGGCCAGGAAGTGCTCTGCTCTCGTATTTTGTTGTCGGGATGTTTGTGTACAGCGTTGTGATCAGTTTGTATGTTTCTAATATCACATCGTCATGTTCGAACTGAACGAAACAAATTGGAGGGGCGAAATGTCTGCTATGTTCCCCGTATCAGGTGCTTTCTCTGTCTTTGGTAGTAGATTCGTCTCTCCAGCGCTAGGATTTACGTTAGGTACCTTACTTCTACCTTGATCTCTCCTCGTGCTGACTGGAGGATTTCTGACAACAGGGTGGAATTACTGGTTTCAGTGGTACTTCTGCCTCCAGGATGAATTTCAGGTTCATTGACCAGTCTGACGATATTTATTCAGGAGTCTTTCAATACGTGAGTATTGCTTCTATCCAGCTTCATTTTCTTTTGAAGAGGCGATCG